TCTTCGTCAAGGCGTAGAGGGTTCCAAACAGCACGAATTCATTTTGAGGACTACTTTATCGCACTAACTGTCTTTAAATCTAGTTCCACGTCGCAGCGAGAGCGGCAACGAGGGATTGCAGCTTGCATCACGTGCGCGACATTCGCACCAGAAGCTAATTTATCCAATCCGCTGCACTCTGTGTGCTGAACTTTATTCAAAGCCATGCATAGTCATTCTGAAAGTGATGACTGAAGCAGTACTCAATATTGAAGCTGATGTTTCAATAACTATTTATTTTCTAATATAATTCTATCCGGAAGTGCAATAACCACAAGTCCTCGGACATTGTTGTTGCATCAGAGTCACATAGCTTGCCACTCTACAGTAAGCAGCCATGCTGGCACAGTCGGACACACCTGTAGCTGCGTTCACTTGGTCCACACATGCTGAAAAATTATTTGTTGAAGTGAATTTAGGTATAAAAAGACTTAAGGGATTCATATTTTATCACCTTCGCTTTATATACTGTTATATATGTTTATACATAGTTGTATGGGTATTTACCACTGGAAAAGGGAACTGCTTTAGTCTTCCAGAAATATTCCCGATGTATGTTGTTTACTGTTCTCTTTTGCAACGATGTGTAGGTGTGAGACTTCTGTGGTGTGATCTTCTCCAGATGCCCACTAGAAGACCGACTGACACCCAAGCATATTTGCTGCTTGTTGGATATATGCCATCCAACCGCCAAATCTCTGCTTTTGACGCGAATCCTCACAAGTCTGTAGGAAACTTAATGGCAAACCGACGCAGTTCGGTCAGGGGAGGCATTTTGCACTGTCCCTGTCTCACCAGTTCCCGCCTACAATTCTCAGTCTTGTCAAATATGTGAACTCAAGGTGGAGCAAGCTCGTAGAGCCACCCTTCTTAACAACTATGTTCCTCCTCCGATACTGCCTCCCCCTCTCTAGAACGTCGATATAACCACCTCTCAAAATGACTATCATCAATCCATTCGACTCTGGCTGTTTGGAGCAACGGTAAAACACAAAAAAATGAGCTCACTGGTTGTCGTGACTAAGCTCAAACTTGAGCTCGAGCTCGAGGATGTATAATACATTGTCCACACTTCAGACCCATACGAAATTAACTTACTTGTTGTAGAGGTAGTGACGGACGACGACGTGCAAGCGTCCACAAGTCCTTGGGCACTGCTGTGTCATCAATGTGTAGTAGGCTGAATTATTGCAGTACGAGGCCATTGATGGGCAATCAGAAACGCCTGTTGATGGGTTGACTTTGTCCACACAAGCTGAAATACATGTTTTCATGCACAAACAAAATCCCAACTGTTTATCAGGTTTTCCACTTTTCGATGTTGTCAGTCTGGGCCAGGAGAACCAAACTGCCTTGACGCGTAAAAACTAGTCATCGCGCAGGTGACGGCATAAAGATTCCTCTTCGCGGCAGTCAGACGAGAGGGCGTGCTGCATGTATAAGGCGTGGCTCACACGCAGCTTGGACAGCCTCTTCCACCAATTGCTGCAGGACATCGTCAAGACATTATTGGTGGAACATGTCGCCTTGGCGCTTCAGTCTAAGCCCCCTAGCACACCTTTTGTTCGCAAGGATAGTGACTGTATGCGCAGCATGGCGCTGCGCTTGAAGCTCCAGCCTATATTTTTCATTTTTTTTCATGAGCGAATATTGCCATAATCCCTGCAGAAGATAGGGCGTGTGAAGGGGCGAGAGTTGGACTGCAGCCAAGACAGCCTTCCCGCCAATTGTTGCGTACTCAAGCTGGCAACATTGATAGAAAGGCTGCCTTGCAGCGCACGCCCAATCGTTTGCTGGGGTACAATTGTATGAGACGGGGCTAACGTAGCAGGGGTACGATTCAGTACGTTCCCTGATGAGAGACAGTCGGCGTGTCACCTGCGTCACATTACTTGCCAATAACGAGTATTGAGACGTCACTGACGATGGTACGGCACAAATTTCCCCCTCATGACGCTGTATTCAAAGGCAGTTGGCACGATAAATCTCTAAGAAGAGTAGGATTGATACCGCCTGGCAGGACAGGATTCCGCGACCCTAAGCAGGTGCTGCTTTTGGTGCTTTTCTGAGGGAGGTACACTTAAGGCCTTATCGAGCTACAACATACCGACCCGAACGCCTACCACGCCGCCCCCACAAATGGACGACCGTACCTGACGCTCGTATTGCTTTATTTGCAAAGTAAAATATGAAGCGAAGGGATTGGTATGAAGCGGCTGCGGTGCTGCATGGATATATGAGAACATACATGCAGCCGTAGCGGTTATTGGCAAGATGTCTACGGAAAACTCGTCCGAAATTGTCATTAAGAACGAAGGGTTTTCTTCGCAGGTTTTTGACCGTTTCACTTCGTTTTTTCGCCATTTTCCCACTATATGGCGCCCTGCTAGCATTTTAGGCCAATTACAAAATATCGTGCCAACTGCCTTTAAGAGGTCATCTCATGAATGTGAGCACGCTTAACCTCCTAACTCTCGAGAGGTAACAGGGACCCATGCTACCATAGCGCCAGAGCCATTAGTCTAGGTTCATCATAATGTAACCTACTGGTGGTGCTCGTCGTACTACTGGACGAGGTGGTGCACCGTCCACACGTTCTTGGGCACTGTTCGGTCATGAGCGTATAGTAAACAGCATTGTTGCAGTAGGAGGCCATCGATGGGCAATCCGATACACCCGTGCGAGCGTTCACTTTGTCCACACAGGCTGAATGACATTATTATATGTATAATATTAAGAAAATGATAATTATACTTCCAACTTTGGAAGGATAGACCTAAATAAACCTGTGCTCATAGATAGCATCACCGATGAATCAAAAATTTGGAGAAGAGAACAAAAATCCACGAAAGCGCCTAGTAAGTATTGTTTTTGCCCAGTTCACCCAACTCGAGAAACGGCAGAAGGCATTACAATGTACGGATCCAGAGATCCATGATCCCTACAAGCGATAGGGCGTGCAAGGGGGTGTAGCTTGGAGCGCAGCGAGGTCACCAATTGTAACGGGCTCACGATGACATCAGTGGTGCAAACCTGGCTCACCACACATAGCCACGATAACTCTGTCTGCGCTTCAATCCAGGTCTGTCGTACACTCTA